TTGACAAAAATAGGCTGAATTTGGCTCCATGATTGTGTTCAATAAAACTTTACTGACAAAAATAGGCTGCGAGCTGAATTTGGCCCAAGGGCCCTAGTTTGCCGAGATGACTTGGAAGGTCCTCCCTAGGGTGACTGTGGAGTAAAAGTCATTGGCCATTGAAACTCCGGGAACATTCGAATCATCAAAATCTGACAGAAGAGTTAGATGTACACCACAAACTCAGTGCTTTAGGTGTCCGTGCACTGGGACACAGACCTTGGGCTCTTTCTCAAGGCTCTATCAATTGCCTCCTTCTATTTTGGATGCTCCACTGACCATCCACCTAGGGCTTGGATGAAGCATCACTCTGTGGGGTTGGAGTCAGGCTTTCTGGGGGCCAGATGATATAACCTAAAAGGGCGGAGGAAATAGCTCTCCAAGGGGGAGAAGTTTGGCCAACGGGAAATAGGAGATGAGAGGGAGGTGAGCAGATCAGACACCTCTGCTTTCCCATGGACTACTCAAAGGCATGGCTCTTCTCTGTAACCCTTCCAGAGAAGTGAACACACCTGCTGGGTGAGACCTGAACAGACCTGTTGGATCTCTCTGCAGTTCACTATCAACCTTAGCCAGCATCATGTGACATCTTCCCTCTCTTACCCACTCTCACTGCTCTGGGCTTATACAGCCTAAATGAAGTGTTAATACTTAATCCTTGCCTCAGGCTCTGCTTTCTAGAGAAGGAGAGCTAAGACATCCCCCTCAAGTGATCTTCCTTTAGAAATGAAAAGCATAAATAAATGAAGCTATTGGATTTAAAGTGTACAAAGACTAATACATAAGAGATAAAATATTGACTCATACATTATACAAAACTAATCTTGGCCTTCATTACTGGCTTGAAATACCCCTTCAACGTCCAAACTGTAAAATATATCCTAAACGGTATCTAAAGTCAGCACGTCTCCAAAAAGAGGACCTGAACAGCTATGACCATATCACTGCTAAGCGATTAATAACTGGAAGGGATTTCTGGCCTTCCAGTTATTTAGAGAACTAAACAACACTGAGCTCCATCTCTTGAAATGCAATTACCTGTTATACAAATAAGAGGTCCCCCTTAACACTAACTTAGGTCCCTGAAAAGGATAGGATATTAGCAATAGCTCAATATCCAGAAACTAAACACAACCCCATTTTTGGCAATAGTCAAATTCTGGTGGGAATATAGCACAAGCCTGTCCTGATACCAGAACTCCTGGGGTTCCTGGGGCCCAAGCTCAGGGCCCCTTTGCATGACAAAACACCCTGGAGAGATATAACCATGGGGAGATAAGGCGAGTTGGGGACTTCCCAGAGTCTCCTAAAGCATGCTTTGATGGCTTTGCTGAGTTTATATGAAAACAACAGCACTATTGCATGAACTTACCCACCGAAACTTCCGGTTGGCCATCTGGCCCAACACTATTAAATAATCTGTGCTTCCCCCAGTGATTTAAAATATCACCTCTACCGTAAGCCTGATCTATATTTCAGTCTGTCTCTGAATGTCCCTTCTTAATCTTTTCTCCTCTGCCTTTCACGATATTGCCTTACTCCTCCTGGATTCTTCTTATCTCTGACAATTATTTCAAAGTCTCCTTCACCCCTCCCTTAAATGTTTTTCTGCAGGGCTCTCTCCTAGATGTTCGCCCTGGGTGATTTCCTGCATTTCACGGCCTTATTTCTCTGCTGATTGAATGAAAATTCTGGGCCGCCATGTGTGGTTGTATAGGTTGGCCACTGCACAATGATGCCAGGCCAAGGGGGCAAGTAGGAGTGATATCCATTCTGCTCTCTGCGTGCCAAGCCAAGCACCCACATGGCTCCCCAGATTCTCATCTCTAGCCAGGTGTCCCCTGAGTCATCCAAGGGAGAATCAGAGAGACAGCCCTTGGGCTAAGGAACAAAATCCTTAATATCCTATTCAGGGTCTGCACACGATCCCTCCCAGCACTGACTATGGCTTTGCCTTCAGAAAGGCATTTCCCATCCCCAACCCCTTCCTCAGCCCTCAGCCCTCCTGCATCTTAGCTGCAGGGTGTCTCCTCCTCCAAGAAGCCTCCCCTGATCTCTCTGGGGTCTCTCTGGAACGCACTCTCAAAACACCCTGGGCTTCTCCTTCACAGCCCTGCTCGTAAGGGTAATCAAATACATATTCATTTCAAATCTGCTTCCAATGTTAAGAAGATGAGCTCTTCGAGGGGAGGGATGCTTCTTTATTATTATTATTATATCCCCAGTGTCCAACAGTTGGCCTAGGACTTGGGTGAGGCCCAGTAAGTGTCTGTTGAATGAATGAATCAGTCAATCCAACAGATGAGGATGAAATAAATAGTGCATAAAAGTAGCATGTATCTAGAACGCAAGACCAAGAAGCCAGGATGACTGTGAACATACCAGAGAAGGTGGGGAAGGGTAAGGAGGGTCCTACCAGAGATAACAGAGAGCCTAGAGCCGGAGTCATAGCGTGAGGGCCCACCCCCCCTCCTTACCATACAGCCCGTGAACTCCTGAACTAAGATCGTCTTAAGTGCTTGAAAAAGGTGGGGGGTGCCCAGGTGGCTCAGTCGGTTAAGCGTCTGCCTTGGGCTCAGGTCATGGTCCCAGAATCCTGGGATTGAGCCCCATTGTCGGGATCCCTGCTCAGCGGGGAGCCTGCTTCTCCCTCTCCCTCTCCCTCTACCCCTCCCACTTTGTGCTCTCTCTCTTGCTCACTCTCTCTCTCTCTCAAAGAAATAGTCTTTAAAAAAAGATGCTTGAAAAGAATCAAAAAAAAAAAAAAAAAAACATGTAAAAGTTATTTGAAATTCATGTTCCAGTGTCTGTAAATAAAGTTTTATTGGAACAGAGCTACACTCGTGGGTTTGCTTTTGCACAAGGATAGAGCTGAGGAGTGGTGACAGAGACCACAGGAACCTCAAGGACAAAACCAACGTAGTGGGGCGCCTGGGTGGCTCAGTCGTTAAGCGTCTGTCTTCGGCTCAGGTCATGATCACAGGGTCCTGGGATCGAGCCCCGCATCGGGCTCCCTGCTCCGCGGAAAGCCTGCTTTTCCCTCTCCCACTCCCCCTGCTTGTGTTCCCTCTCTCGCTGTGTCTCTCTCTGTCAAATAAATAAATAAAATCTTAAAAAAAAAAAAAACCAACGTAGTACCTGGCTCTCTACAGAAAAAAGTTTGCCAGCCAGTTTGACCTAGAACATCTTGGGATCGCTATATCCCCGGACCCTGCCCCCAAGCCCATGCTAAAGTCTGGGCCTCAGAAAAAAAAAAAAGCTGCCACATCCTGTCAGTTACTGTAACATGGGACTTTAATATCTGGTGAATGAAGAGGGGAGAGTTAAATTAACAGTAGCATACCCTTGCAACAGGCTATCCCACGGCAGGTTACAAAATGAGCTGGACTAACATGTACGTGTATAGAAAGATGGCCACAGTACGCTGTCAGAGCAATTTCTAGAACATGGATCGTGTTTCCAATGTATTATAAAGCATAAGCATGCAAATGCTCGGACGGTTAGAGAATATACAAATATCTGGAGGGCTATATGCATGATAAATAGCTTTAGGGAGTGGAACCAGGGATTTTTACTTTTTCTTTTTTTTTTTGGTACCCATTGAGTTTTTTTTAACCAAGACTATACCACTAATTTAAAAAAAAAAAAAAAAAGACAAAAATGCAGATTTTGAGAAAGCCTCTTTTACCACTCACCCACCTCCAGCCCCTTTGCAACAGTGTGGCTAATTCCGGATGAGAATAGGCCGGAAGCCTTGCTGATCTCAGGATCATGTGGTCCAATTTCTGCATTTCACAGATGGGAGTTGCGCATATATACACTTTCCTCTAAAACTTCAAAGGCCACTAACAGCGCAGAGCTCCTCATGTGTTTGTTTTGAGGAAGCTTAAGATTAGAATGACCAGAAATAGTTCTACTTCCCTTTTCCTAGAAACCAGTTACCTCTTCAGCTGGAACGCGCCCCTCGAGCCTGCGGAAGGCCGGTTGCCCGGGGACAAGAACTGCTTTCTCTGCTACTCCCTCTAAAGAGCAGCTGGTCCTCCAGTTAAAGTCAGGTGGGTGCAGACAAGGGAAGTGAGGGGCGAAGGCCGAGCCAACACGTGGACAAGGATTAGATTTCGCATCCTGCCTTGGCACACAGATCTGTGATGCCCCCCACGTCTAACCTGCGTTTCCATCCTCCGGGGAGGCATGAGGTCAAGATAGACAGAGCTCTTAGCTACACTGGCCTACCCTGCCCAAGACCGCCTTGCTAGAGAACCTGCCGCTCCTGCTTCTATAAACCTTCTCCAGCCTTCTCGCGGCCCACTCGAGAGCCCTCCTGCTGGGGTCCTGGGGTCCCTTGTGAAGGCCCAGGAAGCCCACAGTCCCTGGGGACAAGGAGGTGTGGTCCTAACTCAACTCAGAAATGCCCACGGGACCTGTGTTATCTATGAGAATAAATAATCCTTAAGTAGCCCCAACATTTCCCAAAGGACATTCCAAGAAATGCCAGCCAGTGAGCTACTGCGGGGAAGAGTAAGCAATGTGTGGGGAAGTTAGGGAAATCCCTCGCCTGCAACCCTCTTTTGGGAGCTTCTGTCTCATCAGCCCATTCCATGTTCCAAGATAATCACGCAATAGCCAAACCTGGTTAACTTGACTCAAACCAGCTGTTGACCAGAGAAAAACCTTTTGAGATCCCAGTTCGGAAAACAGCCCTAGACCGTGAGGTTGGGTTCAACAGAGATGCCCAGGGGCGGCTGTGAGTTTCCAGGGAGGACCCCCCCAACCCCCGACCCCGAAGGGTGGGCTTCCCGATCCAGCGCAGACCCCCATCGCCCAGCACCGTGGGGGGAAAGCAAGAACCCACCGCAGCCTCTGAGGCCGGTTTCCGAGGAAGAAGTCTCACCACTGGGAGAGGCGAGAGGGGGACAGAAAGGCGGGGGCTGGTGCAGGATGCTCCCCAGCGGGGGACTCACCATTGGTGGCCGTGTTGACATAGTAACGGCGGCCCTGAGGAGACAGGTAGCTCTGCCAGCCAGGTGGAAGGACAACAATCTGGCTTTCCTCTCCGAGAGGAGGGGGAACCATTCCAGGCTTCTGCGGAAGAGGAGAGAAAAGGTCACACATGCCGGGCATTTCGGTGACTGGGTTGCAACCAGTTTGGGACCAGGCAGTCGGAGGCAGCTGAAGTCACTTTGGAAGAGCCGATGCTGGGGACGGGCTTGGGGGTGCGGGGACGGGAGGTGGCCCACTGGCCTCCCTGGGGGGAGGAGGTCACAGGCCACACACGTGGGATTTGGGGGCTTGCCCGAGCGTGAGGTGTGAGGAGCGCTTGCTGTTTCAGAGCCACCACGGAAGGGACAGCTTCCCACAGAGGACAGTCAGCAGAGCTGGGCCTTCTCCCCGGCAGCCCCCTGTCCTCTGCACATGCCCACTGTGGAATCCAAAGCCTGGACCCCCAGGATCCCCACGTACAGCAGCGGGCAAGGCCCAGGGCCTGCTGTGCGAACCTACCAGAAGTTAATTAACCCAAGTCTCAGCAGAGCAAGATCTGAAGCCTTCTATAACCACGCCGAGAACAGATGAAGGGCTGGCGGGGCGGGGGGCAGGGGGCGGGGGGGGGGGGGCGCTTTTCTGGTCCACTGTCCAAATCTCTCTGGGGGATCTGGAGAGAACCAGGACCCACGCCCAAACCACAGCTCCCTTTCCATCATGTGTACTTTGTGCACTTATGTGTGGTTTAATCTTTTTTTCCTTAAAGATTTTTATTTATTTATTTGAGAGAGAGAGCATGAGAGAAAAGAGAGAGAGCACAAGCAGGGAGAAGGATAGAGGGAGACGCAGACTTCCAGCTGAGCAAGGAGCCCAACGCGGGACTCGATTCCAGGACCTGAGCCGAAGGCAGACGCTTAACCGACTGAGCCACCCAGGCGCCCTGGTTTAATCTTTTGACCATCAAGAGCAGTCCTCTTCTTAAAAATACAAATAAGAGAAAAATATATATGTGTGTGTAAGGGAGAGTAAGCAGGTGAACCCACAGAGCCTACAAGAGAGGTGACTTCCGGCGGTGGCATGAGGCGCAAATTTTCTCCTCTCCCTTTTACTTATCTCTTGCATCTAAATGTCCCTCAAACAACAAAAATAAGTGGTGAGCTAAAGAACATTTAAAAATAAGGAAAGAGGGTCCAAATTAGCCCACACAATGGCTGTACCTTCTGAAGATAGCTAAGTGGATTCAACCACACAGGGAGAGGGGCCGTGAATTTCTCAGCAAAGCTGGACTCTGTTCAGATGTATTAAAAACTACTCCGCTCCTAGGGGCACCTGGGTGGCTCAGTCGTTAAGCGTCTGCCTTCGGCTCAGGTCATGATCCCAGGATCCTGGGATCGAGCCCCACATCGGGCTCCCTGCTCGGCAGGAAGCCTGCTTCTCCCTCTCCCACCCCCCCCACTTGTGTTCCCTCTCTCGCTGTCTCTCTGTCAAAAAATAAATAAAATCTTAAAAAAAAACAATACTCCGCTCCTGAATGTCCCTGGCAGCTCTCCGCCATGCCCACCAGGGAAGTTTTGGTCACTAATGATGGCTACTTAGGAAAAATAGCTAACAGATCCAAAGCAAGCAGTACGGACATGAGGTTCCCTGCTCTCCTATTGTCTGAAGGTTGCAAAACTAACTACTTCTGCCTGTGGCACGTCCTCACCAGGGACCGGGTCCATCCTAGATGGTCCTGGGACCCTGAGTAACCACGGCCTCCCCGTGGTCACCATGGTTAAAGGCTGTCAACCCGCAGTGCCTCAGATTCAGTATGGAAGGTGTTGTTTTGTTTTGTTTTTTAAAAGATTTTATTTATTTGGCAGAGAGAGAGAGAGACAGAGAGAGCGCACAAGCAAAGGGAGAAGGAGAAGCACATTTCCCACTGAGCAGGGAGCCCGATGCGGGGCTCGATCCCAGGACCCCAGGATCATGACCTGAGCCCGAAGGCAGACACTTAACCCATGAGCCACCCAGGCGCCCCTGGGAGGAGGTTTTTAAACTACCAGGCGCCAAGCACCAGCCAGGAGATCTCAACAACAGAACACGTCCACTGAGCGTGTTTACTTGGGCCTCCAGACACCGGCTCTGGCCTCTCCCGGATTGCAAGGTGGTCCAAATACACGCACACAGAATCTCAGGATGAGTAGTGTGCGTGTGCATGCCACGCACGCGCGTATAAAATATCCCACACAGGAGATGTGCATCTTGGCTGAGTGGGGCTGAGGGGTCACACAGGAATAGGGAGGTGAGGAGGCTTAAGAGAGAAATATTCTAGAACCAGAGGGTACGATGCCAGGCTGCTTCTGCCAGTCTTCAAGGATCCAAGATGGGAAGGCTACGTTGGTGTTTCTCCCAGCAGCCTGGGAGGGAATGGGAAATTGTTAAAGGGTATTAAGCAAGGACCAGAGACAGACATGGCCAGAAATAGGGGAGAGGGACCCAGAAGCACCGTGGAAACAGTCCTCCAGCCTGGGCCTCAATCCTGACTCGGCCGCTGAGCAGCCGTATGATAGGAAAGTGACTCAGCCACTGCATTTATCTACACGTCTACACAACAGAGGAGGAGGACAGGAGCTCTGTCGTGGAAGGCACCTAGAAGGGTGCGTGTCACCAGGAACGCTCTGTTGACGGAGGGGTCCCAGCAGGAGGGGATGTGTAAGTGCCCAGCGAGACCAAGCTTCACACGGCCTCTGCCCCCTGAGAGGTGAAGTTCAGGTGCCCACACCTCAGCCTGCCCCACCACGCCTGTCTCCAAGACTCTGCAACTCAGCAGGCAAGCACACACCTGCTGGGCAGGGCATGCGTTCAGAGGTTGACCAGTTGGCTCTTCGGAGAAGGCTGGGTGGGTGCAAGGAGTAAGCAGGGCTGGTTGGGTGAGTGGAGCAAACTTCCAACCGTCATGCCCCCACCTGGGGCCACCTGCCCCGTCTCCACGGCTGCACGGTGCTTTTTCTCTTGAGAACGACTCTCTGGGCTCAGAACAAGCTCTGGCTTCCCCTGGAGGACACTGATGACCAAGGAGGCACCATGACCGGCCGCCCTGAGGTCTCACCCATCTAGGAAATGCTGGACCCTCCATGCCCAAACCTATAGAAGGTGCCTGTGGGGGAAGCACATTCTGCTACTGAGCCAGGAAGGGCCAAGAGGCGCTGGAACAGAAGGGGTGGAAAGAGGACACCAGGGCCAACTCAGCCTGCTTCCTAATTTGGCCAACGCTGCCAAGGCCGTCCCCACATCCCCCTCCAGCATGACCACAGCTCCCCGCTCTGCCTGTCACCTGATTGTGCTCTGCCCCCATCCCCCCGAGGCCGCCACAGTCCCCTTGCCTTGGCTCTCTCCCAGAAAGAAGCTCCCCCAGTTGGTGGCCTGAAACACATCAGGAGTCAAAAGACGCGGAGACACCTGGGGACGTATCCAAGAGACCTGAAAAGGGCGCTCAAACACCGGTAAAGCCACGTTTTAGTAGCCTTATCCACAATGACCAAAGGGCAGACGGGACCAAGGACAAAGCACGGTGCATCCAACGAAATACCCAGCCGTCGGAAGGAAGGAGGCTCCGCTCCACGCTACCACATGGATGAGCCTTGAAGTCACGCATGCGATTCCATTTACACGAAATGCCCAGAAGAGGGAAATCCACAGAAACAGAAAGCAGATGAGTGGGGTCACCGGGGGCTGGAGGGGAGGGGAGGACGGGTACAGGGTTTCCTCTTCGGGGTGATAGAAATGTTGCACCATACTACGAATGTATAAATATCACTCGGGATAAATTTTATGTCAGGTGTATTTTACCATTTAAAAAAAAATCGTTTTTAAGCTGTGGAGGGGGCAGAAGTTGGAATCCCCACCTGCAGGCTCTCTCTCATTGAAAAGGCCCAAGGCACCCACATTACCTCATCGCTCATGGTCATGAGGGGGGCGGGCCTCCTGGGAGAGCTGCCCCCCAGCCATCAAGACGATGCAGTGTGACTAACGACCCAGTAATTATGATCTCTGTCAAACTTACTCTTCTTATTCATTTCCTTCAAGTTAAATCCTTCCCTTCCCTAGTCCCGTGGCTTCTCCCCTTCCATTTTGGCAGCTCCTTCCCATGGGAAGAGGAACGAGAAGCAGAGGTGACAGGGGCCCAGAGATGGGGGCCCTACCTTCAATGAACAAGCTCCGAGGGAGTGGGAGTGAGCGGGGAGAGTGAAAGCAGTTTTCTCCAACTCAGAAATTCTTTTCTTTTTTTGAAGATTTTATTTATTTATTTGAAAGAGAAAATGAGATAGAGAGAGAGCATGAGACGGGGGAGGGTCAGAGGGAGAAGCAGACTCCCTGCTGAGCAGGGAGCCCGATGAGGGACTCGATCCCGGGACTCCAGGATCATAACCTGAGCCGAAGGCAGTCGCTTAACCAACTGAGCCACCCAGGCGCCCCAACTCAGAAATTCTTAACCTGATGCATATCACGGCTTTGTGGGAATCCTAAAACACTGCGTCTTCGTCCAGATGGGCCATCGCCCTGAGCACAAGGCTGGATTTCGGCCTCCCTCGGGTCCCCTTGTTCAGTCAACAACCTGCTCAACTGTTCACGGAGACCCATCCTCTGAGAATCTGAAGGTAACTATGGATCTCCTGCCCTCCAAAATGGAGTCACTTGTGCATGTACACCCTCACCCTATTTCCTACAGAGTATCAGGAGGCTTCTAGACGACTCAGAGCCCTAAACTAGCCGGTAATCAGGAAACATACGCGCTCAGATCCCATTTGCGTCCATCGATAATGACTTTTATCATGCACCAAATGTTGATAGCTCCAAGGACCCGGCCAGATGCTTTACACACTTATCTCTAGTTTTGACAATTTAAACCTGCCATGTTCCCATTTTAAAGAATGAGGAATCTGAGACTCAGAGAACGTAATAACTCGTCCAACGCTGCACAGCTAAACCAATGATTAGCCCAAGCTTTGAAATACTACCTTGTCCTAGAGACTTCTGTCCAGTTACCTACATCCAGGCTACCCTCCTTGTCCATCTCTCCCCAGCTGGCCAGGGGAGGCTCTACGTCTTCACCTAGACCA